CGATTTAGACCTTTACGAGGTGCGCCTGTGTGTCTGGTGTAACCCGTTATTCGAGAGCTTGCAATTGTGCAACGTCCGACCCACGGTTCATTGTCGACGCATTGGGACCACCGATCGATCCTATTATCCGACTGAGTATAAATCAAACTGCCTAGCGATGACAAGAGGCATTCATACAGTGTATTTATAATAATATATTGTATGAATGCCATTAGTAATGTAACCTACTGTCTATTCTCAAGGATTCTAGAGCCTTGTTTTTGACAATTACTGATATAAAAGAGATTCATTTTTCAAACATTTCGGTATATTCTGTTGGCTCTAACGCAGATCTGGTCTTATATAATTACAACGCTTAAAAACTGCACTTCACGTTAAGGAGAGTAGTCTTATAAAGATAATTAATACGCAAATAAGTATACATATATCCTTATTGTAGAGAACCCCAAATCAAATTTATATCAACTAACATGTTCCACATACAATTTAAAAATAAAAATAGTTTTATCTATGGACTGGAAGAGGCGTTAATTGAGAAATGTCGTGGCCGTTTGGAAAACTTATTTTACAACCCAACATGTTTGAAAATATAAAGGGAAATCAGTATACTATCCACTACATTCGAGTATCTTAGGTCAATGCCAGCGAAAGAGCCACCCGTTCAGTTTGTGTAACGGCACAAGCCTGCTTGGGCAAGTGCTAAATGTCAACAAAATGTACTCGTCTCGAGTCAAGCAACCTCGCTCGGGCTAAGTTATAAAAATATTGACACCGATTGGATAATTTTCTGATTGCATTCTGACATAATTTTTAGGTTGTTGACTTCTTGTTTTCATTAAAAAAATAATGCGTTTTTGTTATTAAATAATTACGTATAATTTTATTATAAATGTACCCGAAATTACAATAACTTTTTTAGTTTTTTTCTAATATAGGCCAGTGCTAATTACTATGCCACCTGATGGCAAGTGGTGATGCAGCCGAAGGTGGTGTTGTGCACTGACTTAGCTCAACAAAAACCTATTTACTCTTGCCTACAAGACACCTACATTATAATCAGATGCTGGATAACTATTCCACTCCATGTATTATCCACTCCGTGCATTTGCTCTTCTAATTCTTCTAAAAATTGGAATTAACAATTTTATCTGTGTCGGCAAGATTCGAACTCGGTTAATATGAAATTTTAGGGTGAGCTGTAATCCTACCTGACCTTCTAAGGCTTTTGTCATCTATTTGATATTAAATGATATTAATCTAATATAAGATTCAACCAAAGAAGTCAATTATATTTTAACAAAAAAAAAAACACGTGCATTCAATAATAACGAATGACACAGCATAATTTATTACTTAATTAATAATCTATGTGATGACAGGTAATGTGAAAATGCAAGCCCTTCTAATTGCCAATACTTGCCTAACCAAATCGCAACATTTTAGTTTTGATGTACATATTATTACGAGTTATTGTTCAAGGTCTCATGTGATGTAATTTTTTAAAATGTATGTTCCATATTTAATCAGTAATTTTTACATAATATATGGAATTAAATAATTTTATTTAATTAATCATATTTAATAAAAGCTTAAGGTTACTAGCGAGTTATGCGGAGGGCAATGTACGGAGATTACCTGTGTGATATAATCCGTAATGAAGGTATCGGCAGTGCAACCAGAGTAACCGACATAGCCATCAGGGTCAGAAAGCCGAAGTGGCTATGGGCCGGTTATATAGCTCGAAAAACCGACAACAGATGGGGAAGAATGTTCTCGAAAAGTAGACTTACCAGTATACGAAACGTAGGGCAGCCTCACCCTAGATGAGTGATGACCTAGTAAAACAAGTCGATGGATTCAGTTGGCCATGACCTATGTTCAGCAGAGGACTTGTGAAAGACAGTAGTGAAGATGACCATCATCATCATTACAGCCTAAGCGATATAATCTATATCTAGCGATATGGATTTAGAACCCGACCGGACAACTAAATAACTGTTCAAAATTCTCGGGAGGTCTCACAATAATATTTTTAATGTCTACCAATGAACTAACTTTGATTTCAATCGAACTACGTTGTTTTTTTTTATAGGATAGGGTGACAAACGAGCACACAGTCCACCCGATGGCAAGTGGTTGCTGTAGCCCATACACATCCACATCCATCCTCAATAAAGACTCAAGATGCAGATGCGTTGTCACCCGTGAGGACTAAGATGGAATGCCTCTTTGCCAGTAAAAAGGGTCTCCGGTTCTCTACACTCACCTTACGAAACACAGCAGCTTAATGCTGCGCTATACGCTAGTACACTGTGAGAGCGTAGTTCTTTCCTGGTCGAGCCGACCCATTCGTGCTACAAATATACAATTAATATAGCTGCAGCACGGGTCTACGTATGTAATAAGTTCGTTAGAGGTTTTTATTTTATGTTAGTGTAGCGTGATATAACTCTCACAGTTAAGAGAGGATATTCTTATGGAAACACAACTCATTTTAAATTGATGCCATTTTACATCTTTTCAACAGTTTTTGTTAAGGTATTTGTCCATGATCGTTTGAAACTGCTTGTTGTATAAATCTCAGTTATTACAATCTTGACTAAATACTCGTGATCCGTGAAAACCATAATAATTTAGACAATGGAACTCTTTGGAAGGCCACCTACAATATATTTTTTAATTGCGCGCCTCGATTTTTTTATTTTTTTATTTCTGTGTATCTATATATTTGTAAACACTGAGCAAATTTTACTGAAGATGTTTTTATTTTGAATGCCGAGCCTTGATTCTGTCTGCGATCGATTTTATTTCGTGATTAAGCTAAATTTATCGCTTTTTACACAGCATAGTTTTTATTGATATACGTTTTGAATATGTTTTGGATATTTTGCTTGTTGAATTGTAATGACCTAAAATCAATAAAAAATAAAATAGTAAATTTTTATTATTGGTTTCAAACCCGCGGCTTGCAGAACCCCAGACTCTCAAACAAACACTTAGCTACTGCGTTACCGAGTCGTTAAATTCGCTCGTCAAATTAGATCTTTCGATTAACAGAATCGACGTTTTCCTGTTTTTCTGTTTTGACCAATGAGACTGTATGGAATATTTTTATGAATGTTATGTATGTAGTACATGTTAAGGAAAGATAAAGATACTGCGTAAATCACATTGCGCGTACCTTACCTACGATTACTGCGATATTTTAAAACAAATAAGGATACGAGCACAACTATCAAAGATGCAAAGGAATACGAAATTGTGTTAGTATCTCATTATCGTGAATCTTTAAATCTAAAATAAAACTTAAGGGCACTATATGATCGAAGTAAAAACCTAAACAGAAGTTTAGTGTTCTGCGTTCGTAGTAAAAATATATTTTCCAATTAAGTAGGTTGTGAGGTATAGTGATTGAATTAATTAATAATTAATATATTTTTATTGTAAAACGTTTTAAATATAAAATTTAACAATTTTTTTTATATTTTATACATATGGCGCCGAAATACAATGTCCATGCAAATACGTAATAGTTGGCACTCTGTCAGGAACACCTGTATCGTGCACCATGATTGATTTATACTGTATGTGATGGTTTTACTTAATTCGTTGCGCCGTGTTTTCCGATTGGATGATTATTGTGTTGTTTGCAACAAAAACTTTATTTTTATCTCGATCTAAATTAGGCTGCTCAGGGTTGAGTCACGAACATCATTAGTATTTGTTATGCTCAGACGAAAAGTTAAGTGAACTCTACGCTATAGGCGATTTTTTATCATTATTATGTTTCGCTTTAGTTCACTCACAGGGCCAAAGCATTTTATCAGCCAGTGTTACGAATTATCTAGGTATTGAAACTTTAATAAATACTCAGTAATAAGTTAAAATATTTAAACGACATATTATTAAGCCTGTCGAGTTAGCATTTTGTTTTTTTATACCTACTAATTTATTTTTGCAAGTACTAAAAAACTTCAAATATCGAATGACAATCACTAAGATTGGTCACTAAATGTTGCATCCTACTTAGTAGTTGCTTACTTTGTCTTGACCAAAGTGACAAAAGTTTAAAATCGATAAACCTGTTACTTCGCCTACTTGTCCGGCCTCGACTAAGAAGAAATATCCGTAGAAAATATAATCGGCGTCCCATTTTATCATAGATTATCAATTTCATATAACATTCTGTTTAGAATAAAAATATAGAAAGAAACTTAAAAGAATTTCTAATACAGATTCGTTGAGGGCCATGATTGTTTTTTTTTCTATTCAGTAACTAGTTAACAGTAGTAGTTAATGTTTTATAAACATGAATTATATTTATTTATAATTTTGTGAGTTTGGATAAAATTTACTCTTTATTATTTTTAAAACTAAAGTTTTAAGGATACATACACCAAAGCAAAAATTTTATCTTTAAATATTTTCGTAGAGATATTTCGCGATTATTTGTCAATTTTATTAAGAACTAGCTATCCGAGATTTTAGCGAGATAACCATAGACCCAAATAAAAAATAAAAAGAATAAAATTACACGAATATCTAAAACGAGGGTTTCCTACTACGAGAATGCAAATAAACGTAATTTGTACATAAAATATATTTTATAAAATAATTTTATATCGAAATCGTTGAAGTATAACGTAATTTGAAACTGTTCATCCTCGCTGCCTGGGACTTAGTTACGCCTTTGTCCTATGAACCAGAATCAGCAAACCGTCCTAGCGTGAAGGATACATCTAGCTTTACTTATTGTATGTCAAACATAGGTTATTTTAATTAAGGGAAAAATTAATATGAAGATGTATATTATTATGATGATTATGTGATTTTTTTATTTTAGGTAGACTGTTTTAAAAATAATGCGTATAGTCTTAACACAAAAAATATTTTAAATATTAACAAAAATAGAAAATATTTTCACAGTCAAGTTTATTTATGTTAGTATATTTTTATGAAATTTTTTTTAGTATTTGATGTTAAAGAAGACTAGAACTTACCTGAAGTTAAGATCCTGCAAGTTAAGGGAGCCTCGAAAGTATGCAACCACTTACACAAATTTAAGAAAACTGATATTCTTAGTTATTTTTTTTTAATATGCTTGCGCTATGACGCTCGGCAATGTATTGGTGGTGGTTTGATAATGCGCTGTGTTTATATAGTCACCGGGTTTCGGAGGCGCGTCGACTGCCAAGCAAGTGATCTGCGTACGGCCATCTCTACATACGAGCTTTGCTCTGTAGCTTCGTGGCCATCTTCGTTGTTTAGCCTTTATTTTTTCAAAATGCCTTAAGGCGATCGCTTTTTTTACGTAAAGTAACAAGCCAGTCATATCGAATGCATGGTTTTATAAAAGGTAGCTACACTGCATATGGTATAATGGAATGGTTTAAAAATTGAAGTAAAAAAAAAGAAAATTGATAGGGGCGACATAAATAAACTTTTGAAAACCAGTATTTGATGAATTATTAATATAAAATAATAAATTAATTGTATTCTTCTAAAACAATTATATTATTTTTACGTAAAGTAACAAGCCAGTGATATTAATCACATAGTTTTATAATAGGTACAATGCACACGGTAGAATGGAATAGTTTAGAAATTAAAGTACTTAGAGTGTCAGCAAAAATAACTTTTGCAAAACAATATCTGATGAAATATAAAAAAAAATATTAACATGATTAATATATAAAATTATAAATTCTTATAAATTTTTATATACTTAAACAAAAAATTGAATTTCAAATTACTAAAACCTGTCTAAATTAATTGGTGTTTGTTCGAGTTAATTGGTTGTATTTAAATAATTTTATATGAAAGCTCCGTGTATGGATAAATACTTAATCACTGTTATGTTAAAAATATGTGGTTTTCGTGTTTTCGTTTTGAGTGAACGACATTAATTTGAGTTTATTCGATACATCTTATTAGGCCTTTGACTGATAAAACTTTAGTTGAGATATTTTTGCTACTTCTTTATAGTTAGGTGGAAAATTCCCGATATTCCAATACTACAAGATGTGCTTTATGTGAAAAAAAATCCTGACAGGTTACTGAAGTGCGTAAGCTATTAAAGTTTATATATTTTTATAAACTTGAAACTATTCTTTTAAAGTTTAGATCTGTGTATAGTTAACTTAAATGTGGTAGCTCAGAGGTTTGCCTAGTTCGATCTCCGCCGCCATCAAAGAAATTTATATTCATCATCATTATTACAGTCCATCACAAATCTAGTTAGGCCTGTAGATTACCAAATGGGGGGGGGGGGGGGAGCGGGAGAAACGATTTTAAATTAGTTGCCACGCTTGGCAAGCAAGGTTGGAAACCGCAGTTTTTTAATTATTTTCAGTTGTCGTCATAGAGTAACTGAACTCTCTGTCGTTTCTTCAGACACCCCTGGGATGAATTGGGGTAGTAGATATTTTTACGCCGCTATTACACAGTAATATTCATTTATAAAAATCTATGAGGACTTTGATAGCATTGTTTAAATTTAACGGTTTTATTAATAACGGTGTAATACATATATATTAACAATAATAATAACTTAAAAAGTAAATTGTAGGCATTTTATTGCTTTTCTGGTTTTTCAACATGTTTTTGAGTGTTTGATTATACAAATATGACGCCATCTACTTGATTTTAGAAAGAGATAATATAAAATTATTTCTCTCCTGGGTCAAGAACCTTATTTTACTGTTTTGCTCGAAATAAAATACAACTGTTCGGAACTCCCCATAGCTATTTTTATGTGTCCTTTAGACGTTATTTTTATCCAAACATATTATACGGTTGGCCTTCATATTTATGCAAGATGACAAGGTCCAGAATAGCATTAGCAATAATATATAAAAGGTCTATTCTTTCAAATGATTATAATCTAAAACATCGGTTACCAGAGTCGTAACTTCGAACAGTAACTGTAATGACAACATAAACATTATTTAACCTTGGTGCCTCGTGCCTATTACGTGAAAGTTACTTAAAATATTTTAAGTCTCCGATAGTTTATGTTAACTTCGACTGCTATCTCCACGCCGTCCAATTAATTGTTAAGTGCCGACATGAGTAAAAGGAGAAAGTTGCGGTTTCCTAATTTTGTGTAGGCAGAGTTTATAACACATTTATTTCCATTACGGTTATTAAACTGACAAAAAGCCTCTGCCCATTAAATGCAAACAATTTATGATTTGCCTATAAAAAGCCCACTGTTGGGCTCTGCCGCAGTTAAATAGATTTAACGCAATCGTAAATTTGTAAGTTGTAAGCGGGAGACGGATTTGTGATCACAGTATCCATTTTGCCTTAGGTGGAGATTTCTATGTCTAAAACGATAGGGGATGATGCTTATTCCACCTTCTGTTGAAAGACATAAGATCTTTTCGATTCTAACCACACCCCCGGGACGATGTGTTGGTATCTTTTTAACTTTTATACGTGGTAGAGCCATGGTGTAGCTATATTAATGGTATAGTTGTAGCGCGAATGGGTCGGCTTGACCGGGGAAGGACCACGCTCTCATAGAATACCAGCGTAAAATAGCAGCTTAACGCTGCTGTGTTTCGTATGGTGAGTGTAGAGAACCGGAGACCCTTTTCACTGGAAAAGAGGAATTCCATCTTAGTCCTCACAGGTGACAACGTATCTGCATTTTGATTCTTTATTGAAGATAGATGTAGATGTCTATGGGCCGCAGCAACCACTTACCATCAGGTGGCCTGTGTGCTCGTTTGTCACCCTATTCTATAAAAAAAAACAGACTTCAAAAAGGAGGAGGTACTCAATTCGACTGTTTTTTTTTAATGTGTGTTACCTCATAACTTTTACTAGTTAAACTAATTTTGATGATTTTTTTTATTCGAAGACTGGTGCTTCACATGTTGTCCCATATAAATTTGACCAAGCTCTGACCAATTGTTTTTGAGTTATTCTTAATAATTTCTATTGAAGTCGATTGTACAAAATTTTTAATTTTATCACTTGTTTCATTCGTTTATTACAGCCTATCAAACATCCACTTCTCAACGTAGGCCTCCCCCGATATTTGCCATAGTTGCCACGCTAGACTGGCAGATTGGCAACCGTAGTTTTTTTATTATTATTATTTTGAGTTGTTATCAAGAAGATGTGATAATGATGGTGATGATGAAGATTCTCTTACCAACACTTGGCCGGATAATTTGTTTTTGTTGTAACGTAGATATTATGACTAACTTAGCCTTGCATACCATAACATTAGCTCTTATCGATTATAATTAGGTGTACATTTAAAGTTTTGAAACGCACAGAGAGAAGTGGCAACGAACATTTATATATTTTATCCCATCAATGATAATAATACATTCAATGTGATTGAATATTTTAAAATTAAACTATTTTATTATAATTTGATTATCTATACAAATAAATAAAATTGAAGTGTCTGTTTGTAATGTCGAAATAACAGCTTTTTACTATATGCATATGAAAGTATATACGATACTTATAACAAAAACACGATTTTTAAAATTTTTGTCTGTCTGTCTTTCTGTCTGTCTGTCTGTTTGTTCCGCCTAATATCTGAAACGGCTGGACCGATTTCGACGGGACTCTCACTGACAGATAGCTCATATCATAAGGAGTAACTTAGGCTACTTTTATTTTAGAAAAAGAATTAGGGTTCCGTGCAAAAAAATTAAAAGCCCAAATAATACGCAGGCGAAGTCGCGAGGAACAGAATGAAATTAATTTTGCTGATTTTATCACGTTTAATTTTTATAGTTAATCTCAACAAATGTTTTCTTGCTCTCCTGTATTTTTTTGAAAAATTGAGGTTCGCCCCTTCGCGGCGTCAACGACGAATTGTTAGCAGGTGCGAAACACAATACTAGTAAAGAAAGTGTACATATTAAAAATATATATACAAAGTTCATATGTACACAACATATATTTAAATATACATACAAATAGCACATATATAGGTATGTGTGTATATATATACATGTATGCCTACATACATACATACGTACTCGTATAATGCGTATACATGCTTATAAACTAAATAAATAAATATCCGTAACCGTATATTCTAAAGTAAACGCGAAGAAAGTCGTGGGTGTAGCATGTTAATCATATAATTTCATTGTAGCTCACGTCCAACGTATTCTTACGTACCATTACACTGTTTATTAGATTACACGTCAAGTTATCGAAGCCCTTCATTTCAACCATTGCTAAATATAGAAACAGTTTAAAGATCTAATCATAGACTCGTCCGCAGAACCTCTAGACCGGTAAATAGTCCGGTCGCGGAAACTTGGTGTTGCTCCTTCGTAATAAGCATTCTGTCAATGCGTTATCAACTTATTCCACATTAAGGGATGATAGCACGTTTAGACGTTGCATTATTGTTTGTTTGACTTGAGTTCGGTTAAACTTAGCTCTGAAGTATTTCGACCCGACTTTATATATTATACTTTATATAATATAGTAGCTGGCCCCGCAGACGTTGTTGTGCCTTTTCGGTAGGTGCCGTGTTCAGTTTATTTACAATTTTTCCCCGGATTTGTACAGTGTAAAGGATAAGAACAGTAAAATTAAATTATTAATATCTCAACCATAGCTCAAGTTATTGGAACCAGATTTTATAATTTCCTTTTTGGACCAGGGAATACAATCCCGTAAGAAAGTTTCAATCCCGTTATTTTTGGGATTAGACTTTCTGAAACCTGCGGGATCCAGCATGGTCAGTCAGACTTCGAAAATAAATTATGAACAAGTTCAACATCTAAAGGAACTTAAATGAAACAAATCAAATTATTTATAACGTTTTTCAAAGCCAATTATTATTATTGAAAAAAAAAAATAGATGATAATTAAACATTAGTTTGAAAGAAGCTTCTCAAAACGTTAAAATATTTTTTATTGCTTCATCAGCTCAATGGCTTTGCATATTACATTTGCATATCACAATCCCAGTAAGTAGTGATTTAGCCTTAGATGGCAAATCGCAATGTCTTATCGTAACAAAAGCCTATTCACTCTTGCCTTGAAGACGCCTAGATTGTATTCGGACGGAAAGATGGACGCCGGCAAATTATTCCACTCCTTTGCTGTACGCATTACAAAAGACGAAGCAAACCGTTTGGT